CCGGGAGCATACAGACGCCTCGTGCTGAACAGCCTCTTCCAAAGCAAAGCCCTCATTTTAAAAGCAGCGCATGGCATGCCGCCCATTCATGTTATATAAGGGTTTTGGCCCGGAGCTGCGAGCGGAGCTGAAAAAGTCTCCAGCGCCGAGCCCATTCCAGAAGGAGAGCGCCGAAGGCCAGCTGCCTCGGCGCTGAAGCCAAGGAAAGTTAAGTGCTGCCTCAACCCAGCAGCAGCACAATAGGGAAAGGCCTTCCCTAGAAAGCGACAGACAAAAGAGACCAGAGCTTGATAACATGGGGGCATTCTTGTGTGCGTGGGGGTGTGTGCGCGCGCCAAGAGATGCAAAAAACTGCACTGAGCTTACAGACTGAAACTGACACAGGAGTTTTACGCAAGTATGATTTAAGAGAAGTCCAAAAACCTAAACTTCTCCCCCCCCCCACAGCAAGGAAAAAAAAACCACATTTGGCTTTATAAGATAGCAGCAAAGAGCTACAAGTCATAGAATCGTAGACTCATGGAATCATAGAGTTGGAAGGGACCTCCAGGGTCATCTAGTCCAACCCCTCTGCACAATGCAGGGAATTCACAAATATCTCCCCCTCCACACCCGCAGTGACCGCTGTTCCACACCCAGAAGATGACAAAAAAACCTCCAGGATCCCTGGCCAAGCTGCCCTAGAGAAAAATCATGTCCTATACAGCTTCTTTTCGGTGTGTAATTTGATTGGCTCAGATCCAGAAAACTGTTGCCCCAATGGCTAAATGGCACAGGATGCTTCTCTGAGGGGATCCCTGCAGGGAAAGGGTTTGGGGTTTCACCAGCTTGCGATAATGCAGCCACTTCCCCATATGCAGCACAGCAGATCTCCTGTGTACACACAGATTGCTTATGGTCGCCTTAAATGCCTCTGTTTTTTTCCTTCGCTGTAAGGGGCGCTGCTCTCATTTTGTGGTTTCATTCTTCAAAGACTCCCCCCCACACACACACACACTTACAGTATGGCTCAGTTCAGACATAATGCAAAGCCGTGATTTAATTCAAATTAACTATGATATGTGATTGTTCAATCACAGGCTACTCCGCTAACTATGGCTAGTTAGGGTACGCTAAACCAGGACCTGAAAACAAGAAATGACATTAACCACAGGTGGCCTCAACTGACTTCACCTGGGTAGCCTGATCTTGTAAGATCTTGGAAGCTGAGCAGGGTCAGCCCTGGTCAGTATTTGGATGGGAGACCTCCAAGGAATGCCAGGGTTGCTATTTGGAGGCAGGCGACGGCAAACCACCTCTGAATGTCTCTTGCCTTGAAAGCCCAACTGGGGTTGCCATAAGTGAGTTGTGACTTGATGGCCAAAAAAGAGTCTTGACTGGGGCTTTGTGTTGACGTACGAATGCTGATGTCTTGGCTTGTCCCCCAGCACCGCCCTCACACATCCTCCGGCTAGAGACAACCGACCAGGGCAAAGGCAATGAAGCCAGCACTCGCTGAGGCAAGCCAGGATTTGAGTCATCTTCTGCGAGCCCAATCCTAGTTTTACAAACTAGCTACACGGTTTTAAAAGAACAACAACCCGGTTTTGCATTATGTTTGATCTGAGTCTGTACCTGTTTACTATTTATTCCTTTATATTGAGTCATCTGCACTTTGGCGTCAATGTAGACAGAGACAGAACCCGCCTTCCACTTATGCTTTTCTTTAAATCACCCCCTACGCCAGTGGTGGCGAACCTATGGCACGGGTGCCAGAGGTGCCACTCAGAGCCCTCTCTGTGGGCATGCGTGCCATCGCCCCAGCCAGGCCCAGACCATCATTAAAGTGTCGAATTCTCTGCCAAATAATTTTAAGTAAATGAAAGCATTTGGGATTGCTTTCCTTACTTTGTTTGGATCATCTTAAGTTAATGTAGGAGTGGTTTTTTCTCAAGTAAAACCTCAGTGTTCAGGTTAAATTGCCATGTTGGCACTTTGCAATAAATAAGTGGGTTTTGGGTCGCAGTTTGGGCACTCGGTCTCTAAAAGGTTCGCCATCACTGCCCTACGCACACACTGATGGCACGACAAAGAATCAGGACAGGTGTTCGGCACAGTAATAGGATATTTCAACATTACTATTACCTGCCCTGAGCCCCAAGGACATAACCAGCTAGAAAAGAGGTCCCCAACGTGATGCCCGTGAGTGCTATGGCGGCTGCCAACAACTTCCCTGATGCCTGCAAAGTATTTTTAGAAAATGGGCGAGGCCAGGTGGGGCTTTGTCCCAGGAAGGCTTCTGATTGGCCACTGGAGATTTGATTGGCTATGCAGTTTTAAACACATTGCTTTGGCAGCAGCGGCTAGCACAGCACAAGGATCTTCATTGTGTGACTGAAGGTCAGCTGTGGCGGCCAGTTTGTGACTGGTCCCGCCTCCCGTGGTAGCCATTTTGTGGCAGCCTTTTTGTGGCTGTGCCCACTGGACAGTGTCCAGAATTCCAAAGGTGCCTGAGGGGTTCAAAAAGGTTGGGGGCCCCCAAATGAGATGGTCAAATACATACATAGTGAGTCAGTTTGGTGTAGTGGTTAAGTGCGCAGACTCTAATCTGGGAGAACCGGGTTTGATCCCCCACCTCTCCACTTGCAGCTGCTGGATGACCTTGGGCAAGCCATAGTTCTGACAAGAGCTGTTCTGGAAAAGAGCAGTTTCTGTCAGAGCTCTCTCAGCCCCACCTACCTCGCAGGGTGTCTGTTGTGGGGAAGGGAAAGAAGTTTGTAAGCCGCTCTGAGACTCCTTTGGGTAGTGAAGGGTGGGGTGTAAATCCAATTTCTTCTTCTTCTTCTTCTTCTCCTTGCCAGCAATGGTCATTAAGAGAAAGGGGCTGGATTCAGCCACCAGGCTGCAGGACTGGCAAAGGGTGAGCCATCCTGCCACCTGCTAGTCCCAAGAGCCCAAGCCGAACACACAGCAGACCAAAGAATGAAGGCGGTCATTGTGGAGGACGTGTATGTCTTTAAGCAGTTGTCTATTTTTCTGTAACGGGAGCGGGACTTCCCTATGCATACCCCTCGTCTGCCAGGATCTCAGCAGGCAGGGTACCGAACCCATGTCTGTAACCATATGGAGTGTGGACTTTCTTTTCTTTCTTTCTTTTAAGCAAAATGAAGACAGAGCTCCTTAAGACACCTGATTCTGCCCCAGATGCCAAGTTGTGAGGGCTGTACCACACCAGGCCCATAGCCACGGCGGGGCATTTGGGGGCAGAGCACCACCACGGATGAACCCTGCCCCACCCTGGGAGTATGCCAGACCCCCCCCCCCACACCCCTGGTGCACCTGACCCCTGCAGTGACAGGGAGGCTGGGGAAGGAAAAGGAAAGCCGCCCTGCCGCTTCTGGCCAGTTTCACTCCAGCTGTTAAACTTCACAGTTGGGAGGAGAGTGAAACTGACCAGAAGCAGCAGGGTGGCTTTTCCTTTCCCAGCCTCCTGGCTGCTGGGGTTGGGGGGGGGGGCTAGGGAGGAAAGAGAGAAAGAGTAGGCATGCCTTCTCTCTCTCTCTCTCCTATCCCAGTTCCCCCACCCCGCATGCTGTTGAGTAATCTAATAAAGTGCCCTGCTCCCCTGGGTCCAGAGCCTTGGGCCCTGCCCCACCAGCCAAAGATTTCTGGCTACGGGGCTGCACCACACAGCAGCAGGGAGACAGTATGCAGGCTGTCTTACCTATACTTGAATAGTCGTCACTGGGAAGAAAGGGTTCGATCCCATGATCCCTCAGTGGAAGGCATTGACAAGCGCTGATCTTCCCAGCTCTCTCCTTCTCCCAGTGGTCCTTTCCAACCCTGAGAAAGTCAGTCCCCAGGGCTGTGGGACCTGCACAGAGTAAAAGCCACGAGGACTGGGAGGCTGCTCTGGGGGGGAAGGGGAGGGTAAAACAGCTGCCTCCCATGTCCCATGCCTCCCAGCTGGCCCCACTGGTGGACCTCCTGATGGCACTGATATTTCTGGCCACTGTGTGATACAGAGTGTTGGACTGGATGGGCCTTTGGCCTGATCCAACATTGGCATCTCTTATGTTCTTATGTCTTGCATGAGCTGACAGAAAAGGAAGAAAGGACTTGGCTTCCTGGGGCTGGAGAGGACCGCCAGGAGAAGGGGAAACCCGGGAAGGATCAGCGATCCTTGTGCAGTCTTTGCAAGGTCCTTGCACTGAAACGGGAGACCTTTTTTCTTTCTTTCATATGTGCATGTGTGTGTGAGTGTGTGTACACCTGGAAGTCATGGCAACCCATAGAGACTGACCCCTACTGGAGCCCTGGAGGATATTCAGAGAGGTGGCTGAGTAAAGCCTGCCCCTGCCTCCCGGCCGCTGGTATTCCTTGGAGGTCTCCCATCCCAGTACTTGCCAGAGTCGACCCTGCTTAGCTTCCGAGATCTGACGAGATCGGGCTCGCCTGGGCTATCCAGGGCAGGGCAACCCAATGGAAGATCCTGATGGAGATGGGGGGCAATTTCAAGGAATCCACATTAAGACAAACAAGTAGAACCAAGAATGGAAGACTGATGATTTAAAAACTGACGTCCTTTAAATGTTTGGCGAATTAAACCAAGAATTTTTCATAAGAACAGACGGTTACGCTTTAACCTTCTCAGGGGACACAAGTCCAAATAAGTACAGAGAGAGGCCCTCACACGACACAGAACTTCCCTTCTCCAGCAACCGTCACATCACTGCTCCAGGAGACCCCACCCTGGTCCCCCACAGCCAGTGTCCCCTCTGAGCTGAGTTAGTGTGAGCTAGCTCACAGTTTTTTAGCCTCCGGCTCACACATGTTTTAATCATAGCTCAGGAAGGATGGCCCCGGGGCAAACTAATTGATGCAGCAGCCAAAACGCTCGCTCACAACTTTAATGCCCGTAGCTCACAGAGTAGAATTTTTGCTCACAAGACTCCACAGCTCAGAGGGAGCACTGCCCGCAACCCCTCCAGACCCCTTTTTAAAAAGGGCAGCTCTAGTACCTGTGTCGATTTGTCGCTCATAGGTGATAAAGCCGCTCCTTCCGCATCCCGAGGCCACTGACCGAGGAGGTACGACCCGAGGACGGTGTCCAAGGAAGATGTGCGCCTCACCCGGGGAGGTCTGTTCCGGCAGGCCTTCTCGGTAGCACCGGCAGCACACGGAACGCTGGCTGGGCAGGATGGAGGAGAAAGAGGAGTAAGAAAGTTGAGCCCTTCTGGAACTCGGGCTGTGCTACCAAGGGTAAGGTTGCCAACCTCCAGGCGGTGGCTGGAGATCTTCTGGGATTCCAACTGATCTCCAGGCTACAGAGATCAGTTCACCTGGGGAAAATGCCCACTTTGGAAGATCCCCTCCCCAAACCCCACCCTCTTCAGGCTCCAGCCCCAAAATCTCCAGGTATTTCCCAAGCCATAGCTGGCAACCCTAACTAAGCCCCTTCCTGCGACAACTCATTTCCTCCCACCGGCCACCCCTCTAAGGGACAACCTAACAGACCCTGGTGTGTAGAACAACTTTAGAGACCAGGGGCACCCTGAAGACCAACAAAGGTTTATTCAAGGTATGAGCTTTCATGTGTATGCACACGCCCCCCACCACACCCCCGGTGTGTGTGTGGGGGGAACTTGACAGCAAATGAATACTTGTTTTTTTCAGTCATAAGAACACAAGAGAAGCCATGTTGGATCAGGCCAGTGGCCTATCCAGCGCAACACTCTGTGGGTGCGTTCAGATGTGCCGTTTGATCTGGTGTCGTGACAGTTCAGCCACAGATTTTATATGCACGATCACACAGTCAACATCTGCCTCCTGTCCCCAGCCGTTGGTTTCCAGCTCAAAACCCCTTTAACCTGGAGTATTTTGTTACCAGGTCCCAAAGTGGTGTTTTCTCAGCTCTCCCATTTAAAGCCGACTGAGGGGTGACATGATTGAGGTTTATAAGATTATGCATGGGAAAGAGCAGGTAGAGAAAGAGGTACTTTTCTCCCTTTCTCACAATACAAGAACTCGTGGGCACTCCATGGAATTGCTGAGCGGTCGGGTTAGAACGGATAAAAGGAAGTACTTCTTCACCCAAAGAGGGATTAACACTTGGAATTCACTGCCACAGGAAGTGGTGGCAGCTACAAGCATGGACGGCTTCAAAAGGGAATTAGATAAGCATATGGAGCAGAGGTCCATCAGTGGCTATTAGCCACAAGGTATAGCTAGGGGCTCTGGGGCAAGTGATGCTCTGTCATCTTGGTGCTTGGGGGGGGGGGGTCAACAGTGGGAGGGCTTCTAATGTCCTGGCCCCACTGCTGGACCTCCTGATGGCACTGGTATTTCTGGCCACTGTGTGACACAGAGTGTTGGACTGGATGGGCCTTTGGCCTGATCCAACATTGGCGTCTCTTATGTTCTTCGAGGCTTCTGCTTTTCGGACGCCATTTTTTTTTGTGCGTTGGCGGTATGCGCATAAGCGGAGCTCTGCTCCCGTGTTTTTAAAACCAACATTTAAACAGTCACTAGTTGTGAGTTCGAGATCCCAAAGAGGCCAGTTTTGGGCAAAAAGTTTAAAGGGAAGTCTTCTGTCAAAGCAGTGATATCACGGTGCTCTGCGGAACTGTCAAGCGAAATCCGTGATTTGCCCTAGTGGCTCTGCACATGCGCAAGGATAAAGTTTTCCAATCCACGGATGAACAGTTATGCCCATGCGCAAACTGAGGGGAAAAACAACACCCCCCCGACACACGCTCCTGTGTGATCACGATTGTCCAGAGTAGAAATAATCGCGTCAGAACCGGACCAGTTTAAACCGCTCTCAGCACGCCGTCTGAATGCACCCTGTGTCACACAGTGGCCAAAACCCAGGTGCCATCAGCAGGTCCACCAGTCAGGCCAGAACTCCAGAAGTCCTCACACCATTGCCCCCTCCCCCAAGTAACAAGAATACAGAGCATCACTGCCCCAGATATAGTGTTCCATCTATCCCTTGTGGCTAATAGCCACGGATGGACCTCTGCTCCGTATGTTCATCCGATCCTCTCTTGAAGCTGTCTAAGCTTGTAGCCGCCACCACAATAAAACAGTATGTCCCTGCTAATTGTTCCTCCCTTAAAATGCAGGGAAGGGAATAGGATGTCCCCTTTTGTGTTTTGAAACAGAAGCTCGCAGGCAGCTTTCGCAGCTAACACAACTCCAAGTTCAAAGTGTGCCGAATCCTGTGCCTGAACACAGGAAGCCATTAGAGAACCAACCCCTAAGCCACTAACTTAGTTAGCGGCCTCGAGAAATCCATCTTTAACTCCTTTGTGCATGGTTAATCATGAAGCACGGGTGGAAAACTTTGCTTGAGAATAGATTGCTGAGAGGTAAAGAAAAAGCACTCGGTGCATGCTCTACGGCACCTAAAGTTTGCGTGTCTTAAGCCCCAGGACTGAAAAACAAGGTTCCAGGGTTGAGTGGTGTATCAAATTAAGCCTACACAAGGGTCATTGCGGGGAGTGAGGAAGTTGTCCTCATCAATGACTCTAAACTTAACATAAGAGACACTAATGTTGGATCAGGCTAATGGCCCATCCAGTCCAACATTCTGTCACACAGTGGCCAAAATACCAGGTGCCATCAGGAAGTCCACCAGTGGAGCCAGGACACTACAAGCCCTCCCACTGTTGCCCCCCACCGCCAAGCACCAAGAATACAAAGCATCCCTTACCCCAGACTGAGAGTTCCTATCTGTACCTTGAGGCTAAGAGCCACTGATGGACCTCTGCTCCATATGCTTATCTAATTCCCTCTTGAAGCTACTCATGCTTGTAGCTGCCACCGCCTCCTGTGGCAGTGAATTCCATGTGTTAATCACTCTTTGGGTGAAGAAGTACTTCCTTTTATCTGTTCTAACCCGACTGCTCAGCAATTTCATGGAGTGCCCACGAGTACTTGTATTGTGAGAAAGGGAGAAAAGTACTTCTTTCTCGACCTGTTCTATCCCATGCATAATCTTATAAACCTTGATCAGGTCACCCCTCAGCCATTGTTTCTCCAAGCTAAAGAGACCCAAGCGCTTGAACCTTTCTTCAATGGGAAAGTCTTCCATCTCCCTCACAAAGCCAGGCAGAGGACAGAAGAGACAACAACACAACAAATGCACCTAGTAGAACAAATGGTTTGCTATGGGAAATTTGTAGTACAGTATTGGGGTATGGTTTTTCTTAGGCATCTGCCCCCCCCAAGAATTAGAATCCAGATGTTGGCTGGCCCACACCTGTTGGGGAGGGAGGGGAGAGATCAAAATGCACAGCCGCCTCTGCTTGGTAAACCGGCTACAATTAAGTTATGAATGGCTGAACAGCAATCATTCACAGCTCAAATTAAAAGGGTAATTATGCTCATTAATGGTTACATAAGGGTGAACTTGATTTAAAGTTAAGGTGATGTATGCAAAGAAAAGCCATCACGAACATGTTTTATACATGCCGAGACACTTTTTAAAGTTATGAACTTTCAAGGGGGAGGGGTTTGTGTATCTCTGTAATGCAGCTGCTAATGAGCTGAAAGGATCATGGCCTTCTTGTACTTTGACCAGGTCACCTGCGTGGAACAAGGATGGCCCTGAGGTACGTAGGTCAGTCTCTCCGTGCCCAATGCCCAGTCGACAGAATTTGGCACATGGGGGTTGCATCATGAGCATGGTTTTTGCTGCGCTGAGCATACATGCTGACATAAAATCTACAGCCAACTGGGAGCGGAGCCACATTCCTCCAAACATTTCTTCGGGATAACAATTCTCGTAAAAGGTGCGCTCATCTTTGCTGTCCTAAAAGGAGACGTACTCCACCCACATCACAATTAAGGCCTCGTTTCGAAGCTTAAAAAAGTCTCCTGAACAAATGGGAGTGCAGCGTGCCAAAATTAGCATCGCTGGCACAGGAACTGAGGGAGACGTATTCAGGAAGACTCCACATTTTCAGGGATTTCTGCATGCCATGTGTGAGCAGATCCGGGAATGGGCTCAATTATGTCAATTCACCTACTAGTGATCGGTTTCACCCAGAACATTTAATTCCTGCATTTTGGCATAGGTGATGCTTTGGGCTGCCAAATTCCTGAAAGTATATATTTATTTAATCTGCCTTTTCAACCACTCCCCACTCCCCCACCGGTAAACCGGGCTCAGAGCGATGCACAACACAGTCATAAAATGTCAATTAAGATCAGGTTAAAACCAATAGCAAACAAAAATACAGCTAGAGATGGTGCAAAGAACCAATACTGTTGCTATCTCACCGGGGGGGGGGGGGGGAGTGTGCCGGTATGGAACCGTCGCTGTCCTCAACCAAAGAAATGCTGAAAAATACCCTATTTGCTCTGCCATGGTAATCAGCATGTGCAGTACAGAATCATAGAATCATAGAGCTGGAAAGGACCTCCAGGGTCGTCTAGTCCAACCCCTGCAAAATACAGGAAATTCACAAATATCTCCCCCTCCACACCCACAGTCACCCTTGCTCCATGCACAGACGATGACAAAAAAAATATCTCCAGCATCGCTGGCCAAACTGGCCTAGAGAAAAATTGCTTCCTGACCCCAAAGTGGCAATTGGCATTTTTCTGCGCATGTAAGGAAGGGCCACAAGACCTAAGCACTGATGCAGCCCTTCCTGCCCTCCCTCTCATGACCTGCCTCAGTTCACAGAATCAGCACTGCTGTCAGATGGCCATCTAGCCACTGCTTAATAATCTCCAAAGGAGAGCCCACCAACTCCCAAGGAAGCCAGTTCCACCGAGGAACCGTTCTGAGTTCAAAATGAAGTTGTTCAGTGAATTCCTTTATTATGTGCTCCTCTAGTATTCCTGATAAGAACTGCATATAGATTAAGAGGGGTGACCTTAGTACAGGGGTCCTTGGCCTTTTTGAGGCTGTGGGCACATTTGCAATTCTTACCCAGCACGGTGGGCGCTGCCCCCAAATGGCTGCCACAACTTACCTTCAGTCACGCAGTGAAAATCCTCCTGCTGTAGCAGCAGCGGCTTGCTAAAGCAATTTTGCAAAAGAATCTGCACAGCCGATCAATTTCCAAATGTCCAATCAGAAACCTTGCTGGACAAGAACCCCACCTGGTCTCCCACACTTTCTAAAAAGACTCGGTGGGTGTCTTGGCGCCCACGGGCACTG